CTTGAACAGGCAGGTGGGTTCCGGTCAGGGCCTCTTTGTAGATACTCCTGCGCGCGAGGCCAGAGACTTGAATGAGGGAGCAGCCTGGGCGCAGTCCTCCAAGACATAAATTCGCTCTTCAGGCCTGTGCCATAAATATGTCAGTGATCATTTTAGCTTGGCGCATTCTCAAGGAGAAGATTGAAACGTTTATTGTGGCCATCAAAAAAATACCTCAGTATAAGCTACTCTCCCATCCTGGCCCTGAATGTCTACTTTTGAGTATGGTGACATTCTGACAAGAACTCTGAAACTTAATTGTGAAAAGTGTGAAAGACAGTGAAATGAAATGGCCCAATATATATAGAATTATTGGCTCTAAGCCATTTAAGCATTTGAGAGATAGAATAGTGGGTCTTAAGACAGTTTTTCTGACAGTGATTAGCAAGACCGCCTACCTAATGGGGCTGCTCCTAGTGACAGTGACGCCTACGGAGGGGGGGAAGGGCAGTCCTGGTGTGTCAGGAAAAATCACCGTCTTTGTAGTCAGGCTGCCCCCATTCACACCCCTGTCACCCCACTTACTGGATGTGCGTCTCTGCGTGATGCAGTCAAGCTCTTTGAGTTTCGCTGTTCTCTTGAGACTGCCTTCCTTTCTCTGGGGGTAATACTGTTACAACAGTGCCTGGTGCAGAGCATTGTGCATGAGGATCAAGTTCATAATCACATCTAACTGAACAGGCACACAGGAAGTGCCCGGTACCTCCAGATGTTAGTACTTCCCCGTCTAGTCTCAAAAGCACTGAGCCATGTTTAAGGAGGACGGCCCAGACCCTTAGTGCACTGAATTGTCATCTGGCAGGGGCCCTTCCTCACTTCGGGGACTCACCTGGGATTAGGGTGCTGCTTCCATGCAGGCAGCGGCGGCCGGGAGTGTGCCTCGTTCCTTCTCACCGTGATGTCCTCAGAGGCAGGCAGCCTCAGGAACAGCAGTGAAACGACATTTGCGTGCTGTTGCTGGCAGTGTTCCTGCCCTAAAAAGAATAAAGGCAGTCAGCGTTGGCTTTAAAAACAAGAACAGAAAACTTCTCACATTGCAATTACTTATGGAAGGACTTGGCAAAGACTTGAGGAAGGTAATTTCTAGAAACCTAATGAATCCAGAATTTTGATAGGGAAGTTATTCAGGGTAGAAAAGTTGGCATGGATCACAAGCCCACCGGGCAGAGTGGACCTTAAATAATTCTAGTATTATTTTCCACTCAGGTGCTTTATTCAATGTGTATTTTTCAATTAAGTCTTGCATATGAAAAAAATGCAGCTCATGTCCTGTTGCAGGAGGAGGGGGCAGAAATCTCGAGTCATAACACCGAGAAGAATGACTCTCCTGTTTCCACGAGCGCCTGGGTGTGCAGGACGCCCCTCACCAGGCTGACCCTGCTGCCGCCGCTTTCCCAGAGCCACACTCATCCCGACTCCTGCGTTCTCTCGCAAGGGAATAAAAATTGTATAGTTCATCTCAGATGCAACCATACCCCTACAGTCCTCTCTGAATTTTGTTATTTGCTGTTTCACTGCCTGGCTAAGTTGTTTCTAGGACAAGCCCCAGCCTTTCCTCTAACAGTCGCTGGATGTCGAGACAAGTACAGAGGTGTAAAGACGCTGGAAGGCAAGTCCAGCCCGTCCTCCGCATTCCCAGGTCTCGTTGAGAATGAGACCCCTTGCTCCATTTCACTTTTTAAGCTTCTGAACATCCCCAGTTCAATCTGAAATCCAAATAAGCTCCAGGACAGTTATGCCAAGCCAGGGCTGGCGTCTGGAGCAGTGAGCTGAGTGCCCAGGAGCAGCGGTGCTGGGCGTGTGGGCTGTGCCAGTCAAGTTCATGGCACTGGCGAGCTGTGGTAGAAACCTGCTCTCGGATGTTCCCCTGTGCTGGTGGTCAGCACTCAGCTGTTTGTTTGTAAATTAGAGAGGAACGTTTCCATTCAGACGTATAATGCCAGGTTTAGGGTGATGTTCCTTAAATGATTTTGGCTTACAACTCCTTGGGGAATCCGATAAAAGCTGTGGACCCTCTTGTCTCAGAGGAAGGCACATTTGCGTACACAAACTCGAAAAAATGCAGTAATTTCAAAGAATTTACATGGAGCACTTTCAGGATGATTCATGAAGCCTTTTAAATGCTCTAAAAGTGGCCATTAAAAAATCTGTCTTCCTCTTCCTTTGAATAAGTTCTGGTGGAGCTCTCTTGAACCTCTTAACTGTCTCAGAATATATAACTCAAGATAATGAGAATATCTACCACTTAGTGAGGTTTCACTACATGTCAGACACGATGTATTCCTCACAGCCAAGTGTACTCTGGATTGCCCCTTCCAAACCCGCCCTTCTGCAGCCTTCCCCACCGCGGGCAGCCCGGCTCCTATCTCTTCAGGCACACAGGTGGCGCTGGGTCCTGCCACTGCCCTGTGGTTACTGTCGTCTTAGCAACTGTCATCTCTCACCTTGTGCATTGCATGGGAGCTCCTGACTTCCACCCTCACTGTTCTCAATGCAGTGGTCAGAGTCATTGGTCCTGTTAAAATGCAGGTCTTGTACTGTTAATTCAACTCAGAATCCTCCAGAGGTTTCCCATTTCATTCAGAGAAGATGGAACCCTTATGGCGGCAGAAGCTCTGTGCTGCCCCGCTGCGGGGGCCCCTGTTCAGTTGGACGTACAGAGCGGCCTCCGCAGTGGCCGTAAGGACCCGCCTGCGCTGCCCCAGTGCCCTTACCCACTCGCTTCCGTGGCCTGGGCTTTCCCACTCCTCTTCCCTCATCACTGTTCTGGCCACGCCAGCCTCCTTCCTGAGTCTCAAGTCTGCCAGGCCCTCCTCTCCTGCCTCAGGGTCTTTGCCCTTTGCTTTTACTTCTGCCAGGAAGAGTCTTCCCTCGAAGAGCTTAGCTTATGTCTTTACGTTCCTAAAGTCTGTGCTCAGAAGTCACCTTGGTGGGGCGTTAACTGAGCACCCTTATTAAAATGCTGTCCTCACTTCTACCCTCGCACTCCTCATCTGCCTTTATCTGTGCTGGAGTTTTTTGTTTTTGGTTTTTTGGGGGGGTAGTAATCATCATCTTCCCACATATTTACAGTAGCTCATTTATATGTGTTTCTCTCTTCCCACAGGAATGCAGGTTGTAGTAGGATGAAGATCATTGTCTGTGTTGTTTGGTGCTGTGTGTATAGGACCTAGAAGCGTGACTGGTACATAATGAGGACTCAAATATCTGTTGAATGAAATGAACAAACCCTAAGAAAATATATTTTTCTTATAAATACAGTTGTAGATTTAATGAGATTAAGCAACTTGCTGAAAGCCACTCAACTGATAGGTAGGATACCTAGAATTTTTGCACATTCTGATGTCAAAGACTGTGTTCTTAACTACTGAAAATATTTCTTTCTGAGGAAATGCAAAATAGCAGGTCAAAATATAGTCCAGAAATGATCATCTTAGAAAGCCGAGGAGTCAAGTTCAAGTTGCTATCAGTGGCTGCAAATTTGGGGGAAGGGGACTCTAGAAAGAAGGGACCCACAGGTGAGGTAGTTCCGAAATCTGTGTGTGCTGACTGACTCCTGAACAGAGAATGCACCCGGCAAGGACCTAAGTAGCCGGTGGGAGGAGCCAAAGAGAGATCTCACCAGCTCCTGCCTCAGGGGAGACAGAGGTTAGAGTCCACTTCCTCCCAAAGTACCGGGACTGGGTAAATAAACACCGCAAGATGTTCATTAAAATTCTAGAAAACTCTTGTCTTAGGAGTAAGAACCATATTCCCAGAATCCAAAATAAATACTAGTGTTTATGCATAAATATCATGCTAGATTTCAGTAAATACTTAAAGGTAGAAAAAATTTCTTGTTTGCAGGAATATTATTTTCTTTTATACCTGTGTAATAATTAGCTTTGTGTTAAGATACAATCGAAACCCCTTGGCAAAATGAAGAAGCCTTAGTCAGGCGGTGCTTTGTGCTGGTGTGTGCTTGGTGAAATAACACTGCAAGACAACGAGCCATTACTGCTGTATCTGCTTTTTAGAATTTAAAGTTAAATGGGGACTTCAAAGTTAAAATGATAAAAATTGGTGAGCTCATGAAGATTTTGCTTTGTTCTTTTATCAAATTGTGGTAAGTACAACAGATGGAAACACTTGTGATAAATGCTTTTCAGTTTTTTTAGGAGAAAAGCTTTACACTATATCTGTGACTTTTCTAGGTGTACGTTGTCATGTGTTAAGGTGGCAGTGATGAGTTCCTGATGAAATTATTATTGGTTTACCAATACATGTCTTATTAGGGCCAGTTATGAACATAATGGTGTTGAGTTTTTTATTATCACTCAGTTTTCTTGATTTATTTCTCACTGTAGCCTTTCATCTCTTATTCCCCCTTCCTCTTGAGATAAATGGGGCCGGGTGACAGGGAGACAGAAGCCCTTTGGGTTCAGGTGTTTTGATTCGGCCGCGCTGCGCCCCTTTTTCTGTTGGGCTCTGAGGGGCCACAGGATGGCTACCTGCTACCTATCATGCATTTTTGGAAGGGTACATAGAAAACTCTGGAAAATAGGGCATCTGCCTAGAAACAGTGACTGTTAAAAAGGAAAGATGGGAGTTTCCTGTGTTCCGTTCATCTTTTATTTCAGTCACCGAGTGGCGGATGTCTCAGCACCGCACAGCAAGTTAAATACTGGGCGGCGGCAGAAGGTTCTGGCATGCCGTCTTTTGGAAACTGTATTTAAGTATATGCAGGACTCATGGAAGAGTTTTAGTGGCAATACTCTATGCAAATTCACTTGGTTGCAGCTAGGATAGTCATTCCTATATGCATTTAGTAACATATTCCATATGAACCTGTATGCTAAGAATTGTGCCCAAAAAACACATTAAAATCAACGCTTTATGGTTAATCTGAAGTGATTAAAAGGAAATTCTTCCTGTAGTTTTTGAGCACAAGTCAAAGAGAGAACACTGTATTTCATTTTTAGATTATATAAATGGTGGAGAACTTTTTACTCATCTTTCTCAAAGAGAGCGTTTCACGGAGCCCGAGGTGCAGGTCTACGCGGGAGAGGTGGTGCTCGCCTTGGAACACCTGCACAAGGTAAGCCGCCCCGCCCTGCCCCTGCGCTTCCTGCTAACTGAAGCCACGCCTCGCCGACAGAGCGAACATCTTCACGTGTCCCTGTCTGTGAGGGGACTGTGAAAGCACATGTGTAGACCGTTGATCGAGTTTTGCAGCTTCACAGTTTTCTTTTTTAAAAATCGACTTTTTGTATTAGCTCCTGTGATGCAGATTGATAATGTAGAACCTGAGCAATTTCATAAAAAAACCCTACTGCTTATTACAAAGTATCATCAGAAGAAAATCTGTCAATCTTCAGTATTATTTTATATTAGTTTCAGTAGTGCAGCATGGTGATTAGACAGCAGTATACTTTACAAAGTGTTTGCCCTGGTATTTCCAATACCCAGCTGGCACCAAGTATAGTTATTATCATGAACTTTTCATTCTTAAAATAACCTTTAAGATGAAACCAGAATATACAATGTGTATTTTCTTAGTTGTGACTTTGTTGTAGACGGCCTTACGTCTTCACAGGTGTGTTTTCTGAGTAGGTTGGAGAATATGGATTATTGAAAGAAGCCTCCACCTGTGCTGCCCAGCTGTCTCCCACTCCCACTCTGGCCCATGTGTTTTGTCCCAGAGACCCTCTCTTACTCCCCCGACCCCCCCCCATTGCCTCCATGGAGCATGAACTCAGTTGCTAAAAACTTTCTATGAAGTTCATGTCTGTGAGGCCATTTGAACTCTGTAAACATCAGTCTAAACTTAAAAAAACACTGCTTCAGGTGCTCTTAATCTTGATCCAAGAAACTTTGACTAAAACAGCTTTTTTTAACTTAATAAAGAAGCATTATTGTACAAGCAGATAGTCATTACGTAGACAAGGCTTGTGCCTCAGCAACAGAAAGCACTAGAGTCATTTTTACCAAAGCTGTGAGGCTCCAAGGAGACCTCCACGGCTCGAGTCACTGAATTGGGATGATAGATGATGCGGGCACATCAGAAAACCACCACTCTTCTTTGCCAACCCTTCTTTGTCCAGTGTTCAGGTCCTACACTGGACTACTGATAAACAGATTAAAGTGCTGATTGTGGAGCACAGAAGAGGAAGGAGAGAAATGAGGGGGAAAGGCAGGAAGGAGCCAGGGAGTTAGAATGGCACCATGGAGACAATGGGTGGAAGAGGAACAATGATGAGAATATACAGGAAGAGATACGCAGAATCAAGAAAAGGGCAGATCCAGCCCAGAACAGGAATGAGACCCGGCAGGTGGAGGGAGAGGGGTTCAGAATAGGAACCTTAAGGGGAGTGAATGAGGGATTTGTAAGAGCAGGAGGGAAAGAGAAAAGACCCTGGGGGGGCGGGACTGAAGTGCACTGGAGGGAAAGAGAACAAGGAGTTAGCGGAGAGGGAGCTGAACCGAGGTGATGGGAGTGGACATCAGTGCTCCTTTCGATGGAATTGTCGGTGTGGTGACAAGTTTCACGCTTATGGTTATGTTGTGGGATGGAAAGTAGTTAGAACGTCTTTTTTTAAAAAAATACACTTTATTTATTTTTTTAAAGATTTAATTTATCTTTAGAGGGGAAGGGAAGGAGAGAGGGAGAGAAACATCAATGTATGGTTGCCATTCGCGCGTCCCCTGCTGGAAAGTGGCCTTCAGGGAACCGGCCTGCAACCCAGGCATGTGCCCTGACTGGGAATCGAACCTCGATTGTCTGTTTCGCAGGCCCGCACTCAATCCATTGAGCTACACCAGCCAGGGCAGGACGTCTTTTTATACATGAGCCAAGTGGGGCCCAGGAGTAGGCTGATAAGGTCTTTCCATTCTATGGTTAGAGTTGTTGGAAGTAGTTTTTTATGGCATAAAAAGGGTGGTGGGAATCCCCATAAATCCCAGAGTGAAGACTAACAAAATACAAAGCTCTGACAGGAAAGCTTAGTAAATTCAGGTTTTAATTTGTGTGAAAGCTTTAATTCTGGTTATTAAAGGAGAATCCATACGCATTCATTCTTACTGAAACAGGGTCATCAGAAACAGAAGTGGAGGACGTGGTGACTGCTGGGTGCAGATGTGATTGACAGGGAGTGGAAGTAACGTAGCAAGTCAGTTCTCAGCGAGGAGGTTCCCCTTCATCCTAGTGCCCGGGAAAGAGAAACACAAAGAAGGATCACACAAAGCCAGTTTCGTTAACACCGGGTTTCCCAGGAAGAGACAAAAATGGGGGTTTGCAAAAAACTGTACTGAAAAAATAACTAAATAAAAAAAAAAAAGAAAAAAAAACTGATGAACCAAAAAAAAAAAAAAATGGGGGTTTGTTTGGAACTGCTGTAGGAATAAAAACAGAGCCGTGAATGCTGTTGGACCTGATTAGTCTGGAAGCCACGCTCAAGCCATTTGGGAAGTGGTGGACGGAACTGGCCAAGGGCACCTGAAGATCGTCTGGGGTGAGGGTGGAGTCTGTGAAGGAGGACAGAGGCAAGAAGAAGCAACAGTTGGCCGGGAGACGCCAGAGAAGCAGGCCAAGCAGGAGTGACGGACAAGGAGGACCTGCTTGGAGGGCTGCGGGGAACCCAGCGGATGCGCCCAGAGATGGAGGATCAGCATCTGCCTGTTCAGTGACTAGGATCTGTGATAGCTCAGCAGGAGACTGCCTCTTTTGGGTTTGTTTTTAAGGTAGATATGAAAGACTTACGGAAGTTGTTATTTTTAAATGCATATTTATTTGTTTTTGCAGTTGGGAATTATATACCGTGACATTAAGCTTGAGAATATTCTGCTTGATTCTAACGGCCATGTGGTGCTGACAGATTTTGGTCTGAGTAAGGAGTTTGTGGCTGATGAAGTGAGTATTACAATTTTAATTTAAAGTTAGTAATAACAGAATATAAACAATGATGAAAATTAGCTATAGAATAAGCATTTAATGGGAGTAATACTATATGGATTATGGATTTTTGTGTAGATCTACCTACACAAAATTTGGCACGAGTGACTGTAAAGATTTTTGGTTTAAAATTACCGTGGAACCATTCTGTTAGAATTGCAATAAACCTTTGATAAAAATATCTGTATTCCCCAGGTTAAAACAAAACAAAACTATGCATTTAACTTTCCCCATAAAATGTAACTGAAATTTTTAAATAACCCATGGGGGGGTTAATCTCCCCAGGGGGGGCTTGAGAATGATGGCTTAGGTGGTAGCCACTAGAAAGTTAGAAATCCAAGCATGTATGGTTTACATAATGGTTACAAAGTAGGACATGTCTCGTTGTGATGGTCCTTTGAGTTCACTTGGCAAAAATGATAAGAATATAAGAGTTAATTCTTGAATAATCTTATTGTTTTGTTTCGCTTATATGAACTAAAATCTGCTCATGTGCAGATTTTCAGTATGGAGGACTTTGCATTTTAATACTGATTGAGCTAGTTTAATATTACGAAAATATTTAATTACATTTAAAATTGTACATCTGTTGGTTGTAATTAGTACCATTTACGCAGCAGTTGTAATAAAATGATATTTGTACACTTACTGGGTATTCAGTGTAACTAAGTAAATATGAATGTCAGTTCATGTCTATTTGAGAAGCGATTGATACAGAATACAAAACCGCAGTAAAATTTTTGAAGTAGACGACTTCGTATGAAACATATTATTCTTGGGTCCAAATTAGGTGTCCCTGTTTCTGATTGTTAGCTTTTTTTTGTCATATGCCAAAGCAGCCCTAGGTGAATTATTGCTGAAACTATAAAAACTAAGTGTCTCAATTTTTTAAATCTTATCTATATTCACTCAATTTACTTATTTAATGAATATTGGTTGACCACTTGTTACACTAGGAACTAGGTGATATGATGATGAATAAAATAGAAAGTGCCTGCCTTCATGAAGCTGTGGGTATAATAATATATTATCTTTGACAGAAAATCATAGTTATAAAATCAGTTAGATGAGTTTTTGAGAAATTTACATTGAAGTTCGATTTTTAATACTTTTTCTCCTTTGCAAAAGTTAGTGGCAACTTCAGTAAAATGTGACTGATTAAATGTTGACAGTTGCTTCATCACCAAACCCACTGCAAGTAACAAAGAGTGGGATAGGCGTGCACTTGGAAGGGAGAGAAGAAGATACCAACCAGATTTGGGACATAGGTGGCAGAAATACTCATTGTAACCGACATCCACTTGTATTAAAATGTCATCTGTCTTGGAATGAGTTTCCTGTTCTCCCTCCTTGGTTTTCAGCTTCAGTGAGCCTCCTGGATCACACTTACACCCTAAACCAGTGGTGGGAGAAGCCCCAACGCAGGCCACCTTACACCTCTGACCCCCACAGAGGCTCAGGCACTGGGGCCTCACTTACCCCTCAAAGTAGGGGGGCCGGTGGTGTGGGGCACAGGAGGTTTGATCGGAAGGATGTACAGAGAACAGGTCCCAGGGATGTATGAGATAGTCCACCTGTGGCTTGTGATGATGTCACAACTTCTTTTTATATTTTGATTGCAATATAATTCGTTTCCTCTGTCTGTACTTTCATAGACTTAGTTTCTTCAGTCATACTGTATTTTTAAAAACACCATTCTGAGCAGGGGGTCTGTCAGCTGCAGCAGACTGCGAAGGGCCCCTGGCACGTACAGGCCCCCCGCGTAGAAAGATGTGGTGCTCACCTGCCTCTCTCCATGGAACATTCATACCCTTGCCCGTTCGCTCCATGAGTACTGGGTGAGGGCCTTGTCCGGGCTAGAGCTAGGCGGGGTTCTGGTAATACAACAGGGAAAAGAATCACAGTAAACCCGTGGTCATGGGCGTGTGTGTCTGATCACTCGGCAGATGTAGGCGAGCAGCAAAATGTTAGGAACCAAAACAGAAATAAGCAAACAATAATCAAACATAGATTGGAGTTGTTGGGTTTCCCTACCGATTAGTCAGATCCGCTGTGTGACTGAATCAGCCAGGCTGCTCCTCACAGGAGACGCGACGGTGTTTTCTGCCCGTCTCGTCAGCAGCTACTCCTCGAGGGAAGGAAGGGCATGCTCACCAGAGGCCATAGTTTTTGAGGACTTGGTTGTTTAGGTGCAAAAATGAAATACAGGGATTTGATCTGCAGTGGAGAAGCAACTTACAGACTCCCTTCCTATTCACTACACACAGTTTAACTGCATTTAGTAATAGAGGGGTGAGTTGTCACGTGTTCGTAAGCTTTGCAGTTCATCTCTCTTTTCCCTGCAAGACGACCAACCAGCTTAGTCCTAGAGAACACACCGTCACGTGAGGATTCTGGTAGCACTCCCAGAGCTGGGGAAGCTTTTCTGAGTCCCCGAGAACTTTGTCTAATGCTCTGTTGCCCCCTATCCCACCCATTTCCTGCTTAGCCAGTTTTCATGCCTAGATCCTTTCTACCTTGAAAATATTCCCACCAAACAATTTGTGTTGTGATTAGCTCTCATTTCTTTTTGCTTTCACTTCTCAGCCCAACTCACATTGAAACATCGTCTCTCTTGGAATGAGTGAGTTTCTTGTTTATCTGCTCCTATCGTACCACCTCGGTTTTCAGTTTAAACTGCACTTCAAGGAGTTTCTTCCTTGGTTTCCAGTTTCTATTTTATATCTCTATCTCTTTCTCTAACCGACCTCTCTCCTTTTCAACCTCTTCCTCTTGGGCCCTTTCTGTCACCATTTTAGCATGACTAGTCTCTCCTGTCTTCAAAGTTTTTTAATGGAGTGACAAATTGGATGGACAGACTGACCAGCAACCAGATAGATAAAAACAAGAACAAGCTCAGAATCCCGTATTCCCTTCCAGCTAATGTCCTGTTGTTCTCTTTCGTCACTGTTGGTTTACCCACTCTCCTTACTGACCCACGTGTCTCCTCTCACTTCCACGTCGGCTGCAGTTGGCTTGTATCCTTGCCAACTGACCAAGCAGTTCTTGCCAAGGCCACAGTTCACTTCAATTTTGGTGCTTTTCAGTCCTCATCCTCCTTGGCCAGTGGGTAGTGTTGGACTGGAAATTGCCTCTCGCCTTGGCTTCTGTGACACCACACTCCCTTGATGTTCCTTCTTTCTCCCTCTGTTTTCACAGGCTTTTCCTCTTCTGCCCGACCGTTCAGTCCTGCGCTGCTCACAGTCCAGTGCTGGGCCCTCCTCTCGTTTTATGTGCAATCTGTCCCGGTGCTGGTACTTCCCAAATACATGGCCAACACTGACTTTTCTTCCGGGATCCAGACCCAAACATGCCCACAGTGTATGTCCACCTAACTTTCTCATAGACTTCTCAAGTTCAACCTTTGAAAACTGAACTGATCTCCCCCTCCTTCTTTCAGTATATCTTAGTTTTATGTATTACAGATTCCTCATTTGCTTGGGGAAATATATTTTCATTTAATTTTTAGGAAGTTATGTATGCCTGAAGTTCCTGCTCATGGTGTAATACTCATCTCTGTATATTTGTTAATTTAATAACTCAGCAAATATTTATTGAGTACCTGCTGTATACCAAGTATTGTACTAGACCCTAGAAATATAGTAGTGAACATAGCAAATTCCTTGCCCTAATGGGCCTGCATTCTAGAGGTATTCATCAAATAGTTATATGACTATTTAATATGCATTATTTATTTATGAATTATTTCTAATATTTAATTTTGAGTTATGAATTATTTTAGATTACATTTTGCTAACCTAGATTGTACATTGAATAAAATTTATTTATTTTAGAAACCTTAAAAATCTTTTATATGATAAGGAGCACGGCAAATTTGGTACTTGTACAGATGTGTTCTTTTCTCAACCACAGAATCTGAAAAATCCCTTGAGATTCCGAGAATGAAAGAAGGTATTTCTAACTATCTGCAGGCTGGATATGTCCTTCATGGATTTTTTGAGAGTGCAGTTCAGCAAGCATTTGTTGAGTTCTCACTGTGAGTCAGAAGAATCTGCTAGGTATTGGATGTATGAGTCTAACTGAAGACTTTAAAAACATTAAGGGCATCTGTTCTTACCTATATATAAAGAAATAATGTCAAAATGATACATTTGTGTGTTATTATTTACCGTGTGCTTAAATATGGTCTCTGTTTTCATAATTTAACACTGAGCACTTGAAAATTTTCCCAGCATTATTAGAATGAGCCTACACACAGAGAAATAAAACTAGAAGAAAAATAGCATCCTTGACATTTAAAACACAGGTAGCTAAGTCAGTTATAACTCCCTGCTGTGGTAGATGTGCTTAAAAGAAAAGGTCTATGGATTTGTGACTGTTTTCTCATCCCAGAAAGTAGAAAAATGCAGCCTGTGCTCAGTTTAGATAATGTGATTCACTAATAAAAGAGGCTTTTAGTGAGTGCAAAGAATACAAAATAAAGCTGGGAGATCTTTTTGGTTCTATACTTCCTGGCTATGTGACATTGGGCGAGTCACTTGGTCATTAACCCCTCTCAGTCTTGGTTTCCTCATCAGTAAAACAGTATCTGCCATGTCTAGTTTAGAAGATTGTCACATGGACACAATCAGCTACTGCTTACGAAAGTGTAGAGCTCTCTGTAAACACCAGTTTCTGCTTGTAGGAGGTACTGTTCAGATTACTTTGAGCAAGATTAAAATATATGGATGAGAATCTTAAATTATTCTCCCTTAATATTCTTATTTGTAGGAAAGTTTAAATTATAGTTTCCTCTGATAAATGCCTAGTTAATAATATGTGCAAGATTCTGCTGTTGCAACATACGTTTCTCAAGATGCCTAAGGGAGCTTCAGGATCCGTAAAGAGCACGTTTGCATTAGGAATCAGATCATTCTCTAAGGCGGAGCTTGTAGTGCCTCTGTCGCCATTCCTGATTC